GCTGGCCTTGTGAGGCATCTCATTATGTCTTCTGACTCTGTGGCATTCTCTGGCTCCTGTTGTGCTGCATAGCCATATGATTTTATACATAGACCAAAAGCAGGTGCCCCATAGTTCAGAACCAGTGGAGAGAAATCAAACACAGACAACATGCCTTATTCTGTCTTAAAGTGTTCCTGGTTCCAACCGCTCTCTACTGTGCCATCCGCATGAACAGCAGACACACCCAGAGCCTGAGCTCCAGACCATGATTACTGCTGCTACTTTCAGCCAACATAGGGATCCTGCTTAGATAAATGGCCATGCAGGTCAGGCAGTTGAACAGAAGGGTTCCTTGATGGCTTTAATTTCTGGCTTTAACGGGTATAGAGGTCGAGGCCAATTTTTACCACTCTCTGGCCTTTTTGTTTCCCGGTCTTGTGATCACTCTGGGGGACTGAAAATCTGAAAATCACCCAAACATTGTGTTCTTTTCATTAAAGAAATATCAGATTATAAAAGTGCATTATTCAAAAAGCAATCAAACTAAAGGGAGTATTCTGTTCATTCTGATGCTTATGGCTTACAGTTCATCAAATTCCCAAATTATGGTCAGATGATTTTGATATTTATTAGGCCAAAAAATAAAGAATTTATACGGAAATGGGAAGTCAAGGCAGGTTTATTTGTATAGAACAATTCAGTATGAAGACAATTCATAGTGCTTTCCATGAATTAAACAATGGAAGTAAAATTAACGCTTGTAAAGATAAAAATCCGGATTACTTTATTAATCCGTTGCAGGATCTTTTTTTTTTTTTTTCTTCGAGTGCAAATATTTGCAGAAGAGAGAAAGAATAGAGAAAGCTCTATTGTAAGTACGATATAGCGAAATAAATACAATAAGACAGAATAAAATTAGTAAAACAGAATAAAGCAGGTAATAAGCAAGTAAATCAGTTGGACCACAAACCTAAATAAATAATACTTCAGTTAACAATTTAACTTCAGTCAAAGGTAGTTATTCTCTTTGATTTGAAAGAACTCAGGCTTTTAGCACTAGCACAGTCTTCTGGGAGTTAGTTCCAGATTAACCGAGCATAGGAACTAAATGCTCCTTCTCCATGTTTGGTTCTAGGTCTACAGTGGCTTCAACTAGAAGACCTGAGTGGTCTGTGACTGAAAATAGATCTGTTATGTATTGAGGTGCTGATTAATTCAGTGACTTAAACACTAACAGAAGGATTTTAATGTATATAGGATTTAAGGATTTAATATGTATATATTTAATGTATATGTAGAGAGCCAGTGTAAGGACATCAGAACCAGCATGAAGTGCTCCACTTTCTTAGTTCTAGTGGGAACACAGGCTGCAGCTGTCTCATGGATTTTTTAGGCATAACTATGAAGACACTGTTGCACAAATCAATTCTACTAAAGATAATTGCATGAGTGATTTTTTTTCTGGATCCTGCTTGGACATTAATCATTTAATCCTGGAAACGTTCTTTAGAAGATTAAAAGCTGACTCAGTAACTGTCATTATATCCCACTGAAGGCTCAGGTCTGAATCCACCATGATACCAAGATTTCAGCCATAATAAGTGGTTTGTAGCTGTAGTAGCTGCAGCTTAGTGCCACCTCTGGATCTCTCCTCCTTTGTTCCAATGATTATCACCTCAGTTTTGTTTTTATTCAGTTGGAGAATATTATGGCACATCCATGTATAGATCTTGTCTATCCATCTAGACAACATTCTAAAAGGTCATTAGTCCCCTTGTGCCATTGGGATGTACAGCTGTGTGTTGTCTTTTTGTTATGGTAACTGGCTGGTTGTTTGCTATAACCTGAGTTAAGGGGAGCATGTAGATATTGAATAGGAGGGGCCAAAAATGGAGCCTTGAGGAACCCCCACATGTCATGTTTCTGGTCTCTGATTAAAAGTTCAATGCTGACACATAGAAGTTCCTGTCCTTTAAGAAAGATTTCAACTAATTAAGTGCTGTACCAGAAAGGCAAACCAGATTTCCAGATGCTCTGATAAACCAAGAAATCAACATTGTGTCAAACGCTGTCCTGAGGTCCAATAATACTAGCACTCTAGTTCTTCCAGAGTCCAAATTTATACAGATCTCATTGAAAACCCCAATCAGGGCAGTCTCTGTACTGTGGTTGGCTCGGAAACCTAACTGGAAGACATCAAAGCAGCTTGTCATTGTTAAAAAAAGCATTTAACTGTTGAAACAAAGCTTTTTAAATAATCTTACTGATGAAGGGGACTAAAACAACTTTGAGTCTTGTTTGAACTAACACCTTTGGGTTTGATGCAGTTTGGGTGTTTTACTCACCCAATTTTCATTTATATATTCAGAAAATATAAGGTATTAGCTTTTAAATAATGTATCACACGGCTTACAGTTCCAAAGTAATTAGATTTTCCATTTAGGTATACAAAATTAGAATTTAGAATTTCCCAAAATAAGGTGGATGTTAAGAGGTTAAACCTGATGCATTCACCAATAAAAAAAATGCAAATAAAGACTGAGTAAGAATTGAAGAGTTTGCTAGCATTCTTTTGGGTTTGGACCAGGCCATTCCTTATTGGTATTTATTTATTGTTTTTATGGGTAGATGTTTTGCTCTAGGGTTTGAGTTTTTTCTTGACCTTGAAAGGTTACTTGTCCAGAGTCCAGTGTTACAAGCCTTTACTGTACCCTTTGTGTGAAAAATTGCTTGCTTCTACTTGATGCATGGATATGCTTGCTAGCTACAATCCCCTCTCCCCTTCTTTTGGTGACGGCAAACATATTTTAAGCGTATTACCGCCGCATCAAGGATGGAGTGCCACTGCAATTCAAAGAATTGAGTTCTGTTATATTGCAAATACCCTCCCCCCATCTGTAAAGGAAGCTTCATTAGCCAAGAACTTCTGTGGATTGGTCCACGTTAACAACAGTGTCAATGACAAACTTCAGGCCAGTAGGGTTTCCTTTTTTGCCTTGATTCATATGGTCATAAAACATCTATGTTCAAATCTGTTTTCCATATTCTTATCAGGGGTTTTATTAGCTTTATGCTATAATTACCACAAAGCTTTAATTAAAATAAAGACAAAAATATCATTCTCTACTGTATGTGTAACGATTTTATGTAATATACAACTTTGCCCTTTTATATTGCATCACTGTAATTCATGTGCTTTCGAGTTTATAAAGATGCTCTAGGAGCTTACCATTTAAAAGGCAAAGTTAAGTAAATCAGTTGAAAAAGTTGGAAAAGTGAAACTTTAAAGTAGACAGCATGGAAAAGTTGTTAAAGGGTCAATCTCCAGATCCCACATGTCGATGACTCTTTGATCTGCCACCTCCAGCTCAGTCATTGCAGCTGCTGATGGCTAAAATGAGTCAAGCTCCCTGAATGGGTGATTAACATGCAGTATTTCTGTGTTCACATATGGAGCTCACATGATGCCTATTTCTAGAAATTGTGGACTCCAGGTCGTAAAATGAGGTTAGATCTAATTTGAGGTGCCATAGCAACCATCTGCTCTGCAATAATTTTTGAATATAGTTTTTGATTTGCCTCAAAATTTTTTTTGCTGAGCCTATGTCAATGGTTATGTTATGAAACAGCTGCCAGAGAAAGTGACCAAATCATGTCTTAATTTTTTAATATAAAGAATTTTTTTCATCTTCTTGTCCATCTGCTGTTCATTTGTCTCCATTGAAAAACTATCTCACACTAAATTGGAGTATTGACCAGGTTAATGGAGTCTTTGAGTGTAGCTTGTGTCCATTAATCATTGTTACATGTAGTTACAGAATATTATCCTTTTATTAAATTCTCTATCAGTGCATAAGATATAGTGTTTTTGTAATTACTTCTCTAAGTTTTAAAGTGCCTCTTTATCTCAAATCAGAAGCCTAATAAACCAGAAAACTGAATAAACCCAAGTCCTCCGTCTTGATCTGGCTTCTGAAATATGCAAAGATGATAATTAGAATGAATAGCTTTGCACATTTTCATACAATTGTAAGCTGAAACCACCCTGACACCAGTGAAAGTAAGAGATGCAGGCTGAATATATATAAAATAAAATGATACATTACAAACACATAGAAATGAGGCATATTTTTCAAATTTGGAAGATCCTGTCAAGTCTTACCTGCAGCCACATCATCTGGATCAACCTATGACAGTCTTCCCCTGCTCTCCAAGCCTCCTCACTAGCCAATAGCATCCAAGTTTCTCCTTTCATTGCTCCTCCACCAGGGTCAACTTCCTGCTTCCAATCTGCTGCAACTCACCTCCTACTCAATTCAAGTTGCTTTCTCCTTCATCTTTCAGTCTATCTCCAGTGTCAAGGCCCCAGGAGGAAGAAATCTCCATTCTCATAAATCTGTACTTATTATCATCATCAGAAATTCTAAGCTCTATGCCTTCTGCTGGGTTTTGAGCAGCAAAACTATTTACATTAATCCATGTCAATAAACTTTCTAATTGGCTCCTTTCCAGGTTGAAATGTAAGTTGCCTGTTACATTAGATAATTCATAGTTCCTTCACTGTTCATAGTTAATTCACTGTTTTATGAACAGATTCATTTAGTGCGGGAAAGGTTAGGGGATATTCAAAAGAAAGGAAGAAGCAAATAAGGAAGGAAGGAAGGAAGGAAATAAGGAAGGAAGGAAAGAAAGAAAGAAGGGAAGAAATGAAAAAAAGAGAAAGAAACAGAGAGCCAAACACTCACAAATTATGTGGTTGTAAAACTCTAATTCATATCTTTTTTGCTGATAATACAAACTTTAGTGAATATAGATAATCCCCCTGTGTCCAAATAAAACCACTTTCTTAAAACATCTACAGATCCTGGGTTGAATGTTCACTTGTGTGAAACTCATTTCTTGTTTGTTTATTAACAACCATTAGATGTCTTGAACTTTTACATTATTTGTGATTTAATTGTTAATAGGATGCTCGCTCCTATTGATGTAAACAAATGTTCCCTTTTCTCTGCCTACAGATCTGATCTTTTCTTGGATCTTCAATGAGTACCCAAATTTCGTAAAGCAGGACACTCGCCGCTTCATCTCCCAGGAAACAGGGAATCTGTACATTGCCAAAGTGGAGCCTTCAGATGTTGGAAATTACACCTGTGTGGTGACCAACACAGTCACAAAGACTCGTGTTCAGGGTCCTCCCACTCCTCTTGTGCTTCGCAGTGATGGTAAACACAGCTTATTATTAGCACTTGACGTAGACTGATATGAAAAGAAATGTGCCTACAGATTAAAAACAAAGACCAAATTGTACAGTTTCCAATAGGATTTTATGCTTTATCTATTATGATCAACTCCAAGCCTTTTAGGTTTGCAGGTAAACACTGCAAACCTAAAACACACTGCAAACCTAAAACATTTCAATGTATACAACTGTATACATTGAAATATATTTTATTATTATGTTATTTCATTGTCTATTCATGAACAGTGCATTGTACCTATATTACAGAGGTCTACTGTGTTCACTTTATCCATACTACAAGCCTTGCTTTTAGGGGAGGAGATCCATAGGTATAAATAAATCAGATGGATTAGCCATTATACATGGTGGCTTTGTGTTTTGTAGATTTTTTTTAATATAGCAAAAACAAAAAGTTCGAAGTTAGCTATGTTTTGATTCTTTCAAAACAAAATATTTCAGTTGTGAGATTCTGTGTCAAATAATTCTTCAAAATCTTTTTATGAATTTATGGAAGTAAGTGTCTTTTGAAAAATGTCTTTAGGAAAATCTAATATTAGTTCCTGAGTGAGTACTGAAACAGGCAAAAAAGAAACGCGTTAGCGAGGAAAACAGCAAAAAAAAGTTTCATTATGAGATAACAGTGATTTTTGTTTTATTGCAAAAGGTTATGGAAAAGATATGGAAAAATTACTTAATGTTTTCACGGTTTCATGGGTTTTGAATTGTTAAACATAGTCAGTCTTTTTTTGCCATAAAATTTGGGCCTGTCTACTCAGGCTTTTAAACTGTATGCATGTCAGAATAGAACTTATGCAGGTCCATCTGCACACTATACCAGCCACTTGGTCATGACATTCCATGTATTCCTCCTGCTAGTATCTTACACCCTGCTGTGAAATGCTTCATTGTTTCTAGGACCTCATTCCATAGCCTGCTCCCAGGATCTTGCCTGGTATGGTACATATACACCTCTATTGTTCTGATAGATGATAAATGATTCAAACGTTCTGTGATGCTAGACTAATAACATGATACATTCCATTATACTCAAAATGTATGAGATTAGAGAACATTTATTAATGGCAATAAAAGGCCACAAGAAAAGAAATATTAGCATATACCTGACCTTATTACTGACAAGGACCCATGTGCTGCCATGCACAGAGAGCATTACAGTTTATGAACCAAAAAAAAAAATCTGAGAATAAATGATTAAAGTAAGCATCTTGGCAATGCTTAGTTTCCATAGCAGCCATTTCATACAAATGTATTTACCAAACTCAGATAGATACCATTAGGACTGGGATATAGATCGATGTTTTGAAAATACTGAGATTTTTTTACAAGACATATAGGATGAAACTACATCTTTTATATCAAGATATTTATTTTTTGTTGGGATTTTACTATATATTTTTCAGCCATTGTTTCCTGTTTATTTACAGTTTGCTAAAAATGTACCAATGTGACATTTATTTAGAGATGTCTTTCAATAATTACTCTATTAAAAAGACAAATGCATCAAAATAAATACACTGTCACTAGGTATAAAAACATTAAGATATTATTTTGGTTTCATAACGCCCAGCCTTAGATACCTGATGTCATTCTATCAAAAAAACCTTCACTTGAAGAGGGTGCTGAACTATGACTAGAACTAAGATGGAACTTTTCAATAATACACTCTTCAGCTCGGTTTAGTGTAAAATAAAGAATTGATACTTAGAAAATAACCTTTATCTAAATGATTAGGATGGGAGAATATCTTTGATGAAATTAACCTGTTTCAGTTGGACCTAGACAGCCGTATTAGCGATTATGGTATATTAAACTGAAATCATCAAGATATTCTAAATAGAAATCTGCTGGCTTCTATTAGAAAACTGAACATTTTTCATTGCTCCATTAATAAACACAGAAATGGGTGACCAGACTCTACATGAACCTTATTTTATTAACATCTAAAGTAAGATCATAGAAAATGATCCAGTCCTGACACTTCGGTAGCAGTTCTAAAGAGACTGTGAGAAGAAGAATGATCAGACACATCTTTTTCCTTTCTCTTCTAACCTTGTGAAATCTTACATTACCAGTAGGTCTACTAGTAATTGCTGCACTGGGGAATAAGAAGAAATAAAAAAGTTTTTTTTTTCATCTGGTTAATGAATGCACTTTAAAAAAGGACTCCTTTTAGGGTTTTTAGAAATAATGTTTTATAACTTTTTCTTTAAATTTTGTTTAACTCAGAATAAGATAGACATATCCTTTATTGTCCTATAACTGATTTTCCCCATTGCTGAACAATAAAGTGAAATGATCTTGGATTTCCTGTTTGTCTTTCCCAGGGGTATCAAAAGTGTTGAGGGTGCTGTATTTTTCTATTCTACAACACTTCTTTCTACTACCTTTCCTTTAATTCGTTGTTTTTTTCCTGCAGCAGATGGGTCAGCAGATAGATATCAGCCCCGTCCATTGAAATGGGAACTGCGGGGGTTAGATAGGAGGGTAAGGGGGTTGGCACATTAAACAGGTGTTCCTTACAAAAGGTTATGGTATGAGACAATTACGTGTTCCTTTGCACCTGTCTACTTTAACATGGCTGATAGGAGTGTGGTTACATTCCAGTGTGAGACAGTTGTGATAAGGATCTGAATTAGCTTTCACAGTCACTCAGGGAGCTATCCTGATAGCACACGCCTCACCAAATCCACAAGATGAAATTGGGCTGTTTCCTACATCTCTGGAGCTATTTGTGCAACACAGGCCTGAATTATAGCAATGGAGAAAAAAGCTATTGTAGGGCTGGTGGATGGAATGCTTTGCCATACAATCTCTTGCACCCAGCAGGCAATGAGAACAATTTGGAAATTACCAAATTACCTGATACACAATTACAAACTCATAAATATCATTAAGCTTAGCATCATTTAAGGAGAGGAATTCAGATATTTTTTTTATTCCAAGTCTATATATAGCCTTTATTGCTTTTGGGGGTCTGAAGTAAAGTTGTAAGCAATTATTCAGCCATGTAAAATATAGACATAGACATGAACTAAGAGGAGTAAAGTGATGATGGAGTAAAATGTTTTTTGTGATTGAAATTGGAAAAACTATTGTGACTTAGTATGTTAACTTTATGTAAAGGGAAAACTCGCACTGCTGGGCCACAATGTGGGATCTTAGCTGGGATGTTTTATCATTGCATTTAATGCACTAGATTCAGACCGACACCTCAATGCCCCTGAACAGAGCAACCTTAAAAAGTATTTCTGTATATTGTGTCTAATGGCGTTTTTTATGGTTGTAAGGTATCAACTGATTATCTGATATTGGAATTTAATCTTCTCTGTGTAGTTAGATAATTGCTATTTCCATGAATTAGTTCATACTAAATCTTTCAAGCACTCTGCATCCCAAAGTAAAGGAATCTTCTTTAGCAGAGGCAAAGTGTTTGCATGGTGGTATATCAAATAGTTATTTTCAGTGGATCATTGCTTCAGCGCTATAGTCACAATTCAATTGATTCTCTAGCAGTGCCTAACAAGTGTGACTTGATACCGAGTTTTTTGTTTTTTTGCAGTTATTCCTTTTGCTAAAAATATTTATTAAGAATTGTGATTTCTTTTCTTAAATGTTTCTTTTAAATATTATTACTAATAGAAATTCCGTCACAATGAGTAGGTATTTAATGTATACCAGATACTTGTAATTAAGGGCTAGCAGCCTTTAACAATTCTAGGTAACGATATAGATTACCAGTTAAACAAAACTGACTACATTTACCGGTACCTGGTTTCTTTTTAACCAGTTGAAAATGTTAAAAATTGTAATTTATAACTAAATCAACTTTAATTTTGTTCAGTATATTTATCAAGTGCCAATTCACAACATGTATCCTCTCAAGGCACTGTACAGAGATCAATCAGATCAGACAGTGAGACTGGTAAAAAAGTTATTCCATCTAAGGAAACCCAGCTGATTGCATTGAGCGTTTGACTTTGCAGGATACACTTGGTTACAGTAGACAATATAAGCCATATGCCTATTGAAAAGTGGCATATGCTAGTTGAAAAGTGATATATGACAATTGAAAAGTGGTTATGCCAAAGGAAAAGAGGTCACTGCTCAACTGGCATATGCCACTTCTCAGATGGCATACACCACTTGTCAACTGGTATGTGACACTTTAGAACTGGCATAGATACTACTTTTGGCTTCCGCTCTCATTCAAATTTTAAGCGCTGGGGGACACCGAAAAAGTCATGAAGTTGAGCAGGACATATGACCATCAAAACACATACAGAAAGGATGCTTGGCAAGTAGCATTTAAACCAAGCCATAGAACTAAATGCACAAAAACAACAGTCACCTGAGTCTGTTGCTGGTACAGTTTTAGCAGTTAAACGGTTCCCCTTCAGAATGAAAGGCAGCCAACTTCCTTCCAAATCCAGCCACTGGAGTGGCCCCCAATTTCAACTGGGAGTGTCAATGTTGACTGTAACTCCACCTATAGGCATTGCAGCTAGTTTACACTCTCGCAGCTTAGGGGTGCAGTCTTCCTGACAAAATCATTTCAGGGGATTGCTTTGCCCTCACAGATTTGTTGTTTTACCAGCAAATGACCTGCCAAGGACCAGTAAAGGAACTATCATGAGAATAGGAAACTTTAAAAGATCTACTACTGTAACAGCACCAATAGAGGCCAGATGAAACCACAATAAATGACTGCATAAGATCTAGCTGTTAA